ACACACACACACACACACACACACACACACACACACATCTGTGTTCCAGCTGTGTGGAGGATCCTGCGGTCACTCCCTGATAAGGTGAGAGAGATGAGGCGCAGACGCGTTGTGTTTATGTGTGAGGAGTTCTTCAAGTCCCTCTCCACCCAAGTGCACACAGGGTGAGGGAGCGATTCATTGGGACAGGGAGTTGTGGAGTGAGTGTGCCGACGTTCGTGGTGTAGTGTGTGCGTTGCTCGCTGGTTCTCATGTCCATTCACCCACTCTCTCCATCTGCCAACTCGTGTGTCATGACTGTGTTATTGCTGCCTGCAACCCCTGCGGGAGTCTGCCAGGATCAACCCGTTAAGGGGCGACAAGTTTTGGAAGGTGAGGGTGTGTGTGTGTGTGTGTGTGTGTGTGTGTGTGTGTGTGTGTGTGTGTGTGTGTGTGTGCAGGGGATCGTGTGCAGGGGTGCGAATCAGCGCGGTCACCTCACAGCATCTCGCTGCCATCACCAACACCTTCATGCGCACACACACACGCAAATGCTCGCAGGGGAAAGATGCAAGTGGAAGGGCTGGCGTACCACACGCCCAATGAGACGCCACACGATGTGATGCAGGAGTCTGTATGGTGCAACACCCCCGCCCACCGACGAAAGGCGGCCAAGGATAATGCACCCATGTGATGTGTTTGCGACGACGATGAGGATGAGGATGAGGAGGAGGAGGAGGAGGAGGAGGAGGAGGAGGAGGAGGAGGAGGAGGAAGATGTCTAACAGCGTGACCAAGATCAGCTTTGTCACTAGTTCAATAGTTCAGCCCACCTGTGTGTGGTTCCTCTGCGTCAGTACATGGAAGTAAACGCGTTGAGATGACACGATGTCAGCCAGGCAGTGTGTGTGTGTGTGTGTGTGTGTGTGTGTGTGTGTGTGTGTGTGTGTGTGTGTGAAGCAAAGCAACGCTGCAGTCAAGCAACAAGAGAGAGAGGAGATGAGCCAACACACGCCACCACCTCTTCACCCCACGAAGTGGAAGCAAGCAAGTCAGCTTAGCAAGCAAAGAAGAAGAGAAGAAGTAAACCGAACCAAGCCAAACCAAGGGGGAAGAGGGAAGTGAAGGAGAGACAGCAAGCACAGCAGCACCACAGCAGCAACCACAGCAGGCCCATATGGGAGAGAGAAAAAAAAAGAAGGGGAGCAACATCACCCGTGATTCCCGCCTGGTCACCCACGGCAGTACTGAACGGGCCCAAACGGGCTTAGCTTCCGCGATCGGACGAGAGCGGGCGTGATCCCGTTGGTGTGAACGTTGCCGACAATAGTGCAAGACAAGCCATTTATCAAGGCAGAGCCAGCAAGAAGAGGAAGAGGAAAATCGCACACACACCAAAAAACCCAGAAACGAGCAGAAACGAGCAAACAACCGATTCTGCTTTCCAACCAACCAACCAACCAATCCACTCGCCGTTGCTTCATTCTTCTTCTTCTGGGCAGCAGCTGGTGTGTGTGTGTGATGGTGGTTGGAATGGTGATGGTGACCATGGTCGTCGTCGCTGCTGACAGGCAGGTGAGGTGAGGTGAAGTGAGGGGAGGTGGGGTGAGGTGATGTGAGGTGAGGAGGTGGGAACGTGTCATTGGTTCGTGCACACACACACATTAGTGGTTGTGCGTGCCACGTTCCTTCCTTCCTTGCCTTCCTTCTCTTCCCTTCGTCGTCCTTCTCGCTGACGCATTCACACACGCACATGTGCAGGGAGAGTGTGCGCACCGTATCTCCCCTTCTCCCTTCCATCCATCCATCCATCCATCGTTGTCCATTTCCTTCTCCTGTGATGAACCACTCACAACCAACCAACCAACCAACGACCACATGAATGACCCATCCATCGACAGGTGAGGGTGAGATTGAGTGCACCCACTTCCTTCTCTCACTCCGTGCTCCTCCTCTTCCCCTTCTCCTCCTTGCACACTGCGCATAGCAACAACCACCAACACCACCATCAAGAACAACAACAACACAGCGCACGCTGTCATCGTGCACACACAGCCACACACACACACTTATGTGGACCATCATCCATCAATCCATCCACGCATGGGTGGGTGGATCACAACCAACACACCACTGCGTGTGGCACTCACAAATGCACATACTCACACTCACACACTTGCTCACCGTTGTGTGGTGACAGAACAACGACTGCCATCAGCCACCGTCGTGCAGGGGCGGCCCTGAGAATGGATCATGCAACCTCTCAACCAGTGAGCAGCACACACATGGGAGAGAGGGGGAAATGACATCAACCAACATCACAGCCAATGTATGTGTGTGTGCACGGGGTTGTGTTTCTGCTCATCCTCCCCCTTCTTTCTCCTCCTTTCTGTCTGTGACACGCTGGTCACTGTTGTTGTTGTTGCTTGCTCGTTTGTGGTCGTGCGTGCAGATGAATATATTCCATCATCATCATCAGCAGCAGCAGCAACAGGTGCTGGCTGATGCGTGAGGCAGTGGGCAACCCTCACCAACCATGCTGATGGATGAATGGTAATCCAACCACTGCATCACCCAGACAGGTGTGTATGGTGTGTGTGTGTATGTGTGTGTGTGTGTCTCGACGTGCGTGTTCTCTTCTCCACCCACCACACACGCCATCATCACCGCCTCCTCATTTTCTTGTGTGTTTGCTCACACCCTTCCCTCTTCCCATCATCACACCACCCTCCACGCTTGTTTTTCTTTCTTTTCGGCTTGTCGCCACACACAGAGGGCACTTGAGCCAGCAGCTGTCACCCCCTCCTGCACCGAGCACCACTGCTCTGGTGGGATGAACAGACGGGCGCTGCCATGTGATGACCATCCAGCCACGCTGTATGCGGCTGCGGAAACAGCAACACTAACAATACACCACAAACAAGCAAGCAATGAGCAACGTGAGTGCATCTCTGCACATGCATGCGTGTGTATGCTGCGCACCGCACCAGTGTGCGTGTCTGTGATCGTTGTCTCTGCTGCTCCTGTCTCCCCTTGTTGTCCCACATCAATGTGTACATGTGTGTGGTGCGGCTGCCTGTTTTGCCTTGCTTGATGCGCTGTCTCATTCTTCGTTCACACACACAACTGGCTGCACACCTGAACATTCTCCACCTTGCAGCCACTGCTCGTCTTTCCCGCTCTTTCTCGCCCTCCCTGGCAGCCATCACAACAACAGCAGCAGCAGCAGCAGCCAACACACCCTCCACCGCCGATGCAGCAGCAGCAGAGAATGCACCACCACCATCACTTGCTGCTGAACACATTTCCCAGCCAACCAACCAACCAACCCATCGCCCGCTGCTGCTGGCGGAAGCTGGCTGTTTGCTGCTGGGAACAGGTAGCGACAGCACAAGTTGGAAGCAGCAGCAAGCAGAGGTGAGGGCAAGAAGAAGAGGGAAATGGAGGGGAGATGTGATGGATGGATGGGATGAGGTGAGGTGGGGTGGGGGATGCTGGATGAGTGTGGTGTGGTGTGGTGTGGCTGGCTGATGACAGAGGACGATGGTGTGTGGTGGTGTGAGGAAGAGGGATGGATGGATGGAATGGGGTGCAGCATGTCTTGTTCCTTCCCTTCTGTTTTCTGTTTTCTCTCTCTTCCCTTTCTTCTTCACACACATGCATGCACAACAGCAGCGGTGGCAGCAGCAGTGTAGCTGCGCACATATTCATACTCCCTCTTTCCCTCCCACTCACTCACCATGCTGGTGCTCGCACACAAACACACTTACAGGTGATGCACACGCACAGGCAGGATGAGGGAAATGTCGAGGATCCTTGTCACGCGTGCCAGCTGCACTTGCCTCACACATGGTATGTGGGTGGTGATGGGCGGTTGGTTGGTGGTGTGATAGGGTGCGGTGATGGGGTGTGGTGAAGCGAACAAGAGGAAGGGGGTTGATGGGGATGATGGTCACACACTGACACACGCACACATACACACACACGCACAAGTGGTGCGTGTGATGTCACTCACTCGTTCTGCTGTGCTGACGTGATGGCTTGCTCTGTGCCTGTTGCGTTCTGTACCCAACCACGCCCCCTGCAACCACGCACACACACACATGCACATATGCTCAGGTGGTGAGGAACAAGCACTCATCAGGATGTTGATGGATGTGGGCTAGCATGCCGGGCTGCTGCTGCTGCAACTTCCCCGATTCGGCTGCTGCTGCATCTGATTCAGCTGCCGCTGTTGTGCTCATGCAGGGTTCCCAATATGCGTGAGCAAGGTGAGCCCATTCATGGATGCTTTG